TTAACAAAGCCAGTAAAAGAATAGCCAGGATGTAAAAACAAATGACCACAGACAGTTTCCGAGACCGCTGTCTGCGGGTCCATATAGAATTAAGGATTCTTGCAGTGAATTTTAAAAGGCATTGCCAAATTACTCTAGTTTTGCTTTGTATTTCTTTAGATAATTGTGAAGGTTGAGCTTCTTATATGTTTGTTGCCCTTCTATGTTTCTTCTGGAATCACCTTTTTTCTACATATTGGTTGTATCTTAAAATGATTTGTAGAAGATCTTTGTTCTGTGTGGGCATGTGTGTGTGTGTTTTGTTTTGCACCCCCGAGTGTTTACTTATTTATGGTTTTCTTTAGCCTTACAGAAGAGGACAGTTTTAATAGACTGTCTTTTCCTCTTTGGATTTGACTCAGCTTGATGTTTTACTTGGGGAAGCTTTCTCTATCCCCCCAAAATAATTGTCTTCCTGTAAAATTTATTTTAACATTCAGATTTTTAATCTACCTAAATTTATTTTTTGTATGATGTAAATTAAGATTCTAAATACTTTCCTATAAACAGAACAAGCCAGCATCCATCTAGTATGTGAAAGCGCTGAGTTTTGAACACAACCTGTCTGCCACCATCTATTAATTGAATAATATTAAAAGGATCTTTATCATATGTTTGGAAAACTACCAAAAAAAATAGGAGTATCATGAAATAAAAAAGCTTGCCCTGTTGCTTTTTATTTTGCTAATAATAATCTCAGATAGCCTCCTTAAATAAATATTTAAGATCCAGGGATTGAAGAAATAACTGGAATATGGAGAAATTTAATGTAACTTTAAGTGAGGTGCTAGAGATTGTTAAGATATCAAATTCAGCTACATAGTTATTCTGCATTAGCAAATATTTGTAATGCTAAACAAAATATATAATGATAATTAATTTTTTAAAACATAGTAATCATGCTTACTTAAACTTAATATACAGTACCTCAATTATCTTTGTGATATTCTGTCTTCTGAGTTCATTCTGTTCATTTCTCCCACAGATATGCGAGGATTCATGACAGCACATGGACAGCCAGACCAACCTCGGTCTGCACGCTATATCCTAAAGGATTATGTCAAAGTAAGTGCATGCTGGATTTTTGTTTTTGTTTGTTCTTACTTTTTTTTAATATTTATTTTTTAGCTTTTAGGTGGACACAATATTTTTATTTTATTTTTGAGTGGTGCTGAGGATCGAACCCAGTGCCTCACACATGCCAGGCGAGCGCGCTACTACTTGAGCCATATCCCCAGCCCTGTTCTTACTTTTGAATAAGAGTCTTTTCTCACATACTATATTCTTAACTAATGGCAACCTGTTACAAGCTTATGAGATTATTTTTTTCATTGAGATGGAGTAATAACTAGGGTTATATTCATGATCCAGAAGTGACTAATAACATACTATGAAAGGAAAGTTGAAGACCTTTGAACACCTGGAATCACTGAAATTCATTGATTTATGCTTCTGGTGTTTCCATTTCTACAGCCTTTTGGTTGTTCCCATTGTGACTGTTATTACAATCTTCCT